AGATATTCTATTAGAGGCTATAGGTATTCCGTTGGAGACCCATTTTAGTTTATATCTCCTTATAGGTCTCCTATTGAAGACAGCCTCAGGGTCCCGCCGGCCGCATGTAGTAAATATGAGTTGCGATCGCGGGCGGGCGAATGGGGGCGATCGCAGAAGAGAGAAGACCGTCCCGCCCGTGGTCACATGACAGCGACGCGGAAAGGCCGCCCTGCAAAGAGTCCATCCAAAAGGAGCGGTGTCCTGGACTCCCGGTGAAATGAGATCCTCTGCAGTCGTAGTGATCGACTTCACCCTGCAGTCAGGGACATCGGACCCTTCACTAAAGATCGAACGATATAAGGCTCCCACCCGGTTTCCATGCGTTGGGCCTTGGCCCATCTCAGCCCAAGCCACCACGATAGCTAGCTCACCATGGCGACTTCCTTCGCCTCTGTACTCGTCTTCCTCGTTGCCGAGCCGCGCCTATCACCGAAGAAGGACACCGCAGAAGAGGAGAAGGCCCTAAGCTAACACAAATGCTCTGAACCGTGTAGCACGCCCTGGGGTTGGATAGGTAGTAGAACGGGTCCACGCCCTTCCACCTGCTGGTCGTCGTGCCGTAGAACATCCCGGTCTCGGCCGCAGCGCGACTGGCACGACGCCGCCAGCGCCAGCGAGCTCGGCGAAGAGCGGGCTGAAGCGGAGCAAGTACGGCTCGCGGCAGGTGTTGCCCTCGGGGGCAGACCACCACAATGTCGCCGCGAGCCAGGCGCACGGTCTCGCCGATCGGGGAGATGAGGTCGGACACACGGCTCAGGCTGTCGGACACGGCACGCACGGGGCAGTCCAGCGCGATGGACACGTACACGGGTCTATCAGCGTGCGGTGGTTGCACGCGTACAACTGCCTGGACCCGGTGGAGGAGCCGTTGTTTCCGTCGCTGCCCAGCTGCGGAAGCGAGCCGCGGAGGCATCACGACTGGCCAGTGGCAGCTAGGAGCGCCGTGAAGGAGGGAGACGAGGTGGAAACGCTGCATGCCGGCAGCGACCGGGACAGCGACGACGTGTGGCCCTCGACAATAAGGGCGGCGACGGCGCGGCCCTCGACCGACGAGGACGGCGACAGCGCGGCCCTCGGCGTGGGGACAGAGACGACGCGATAGTCAGATGGCGACGACGTGGCTCTTGACGAGGGGACAAAGATGACGTGGTAGTCGCTGGGAACGTCGACGCGCAGAGCGGAAGACGGCAGCGGCGATTTCACCAACCTCTCGCAGGACCTAGGCTATGATAGACCTTGAGTTTGTGCGGCCTGTGTGTCACTTTGGCAGAGCAATCGTTGGATCAACAGCGGACAATACAGATGATCTGACTGCAGGGTGAAGTCGAGCCACTCGACTGCAGAGGATCTGATTCCGCGAGCGCCGCCTCCTCTCCAAGGCCCAGGCGTGGCGGAATCAGATCCCCTGCAGTCGCCCTCACCAGCTTCACCCTGCAGTCAGGTCATCTGCACCGTCCGCTGCTGATCCAACGATTTCAATACCAAAGTGAGGCCTCACAAAATCAAGGCCCATCTAGCCCAGGTCCTGCCGAGACCCCATGGTGAGCCGCGCTGGCGTTCTGAGCGACGCGCCGTCGCCATCCCCTCGTCAAGAGCCGCGGCGATGCCATCTCTGGTCTGACTACCACGCCGTCGTCGCCGTCCCCTCGTCAAGAGCCACACCGTTTTTCCAACCTTCCCCCGTGCGGCGCTCCCACGCTGAGTCGCTGACCGCTTGCGCCTGCGCCTGCGCCTCTCTCCCTCTCTCGCGTCCTCTCCTCGCCTCCTGGCTCCTACTCGCTTCCTACTCGCCGCGTCCTCCGCAGCACAGCCCATCGCATCGGATCGCGCGCGGGGAACAGCATGGCCGGCGACGACGGCAGCAGCGGCGGCGGAGGCATCAGGGAGGATGAGGTCCACGTACAGATCGCAGGTCAGTCCTCCGCTCGTTATCTCTATATGACCGAGTGAACTATGTCGGGTCATCATTGAGGATGCGATGAGAGGAACGCGGATGAGTATCATAGATTGGGTTTGCTCTGCAGTGGTGTGGGTAGCCCCGATACATGTTCTTCTTCTTCTTTTCTCGGGTTATATCAGCGGTACGTCGTTGGAACGCTCAAGCGCGAGAGGTGTTCGATGGATTGCCTGCTGGTGTATGGCGCCCCGTTGGGTCATTGGGTTTTTGGTTCCCGTTGTGTCATCTTCCTTCCTCAGTGCGCGCGCTCAGGATTGCCCATGAGCTCTGTGGCATGTGCGCGTGCGTCCGTTTTCAGTTACTGTCCATTCAGTTAATGTGTATGATTGGTCGTTCGCCAGAGCTGGTTCAGCTGTTAATTACGACTCCAAATATTTGCAACGTTTCATGAGGATGTGTAGGAAACCTTAGTATATGCACTTTAATAACCAGGCTTGTATTATCCTTTTCTTGTTTGGGAATAATAATGTGAGCTTTAGGGGAAGTCAGAAAAGTCATGGAGATACCGTGGACAATTCCTTGTGTGCAGTAATTTTAGAGCACTGTGGGTTTATGCCCTGTTCGTCAGGAAAAGTAGCCTTGTCTAAGAAACGAGTGTTTCAATTTGGGACTTCCTGCTACCGTGAGTGCTTAGCATTTATAGTTTCAGAATGACCTGTTCATAATGCCTTCTGTATGTTGTTTGCAGGATCATCTAAACCTGAAACTTCATCCACTATCGAAACAGCTCCTCAAAACTTTCATACCAAGCATTGGCACTGGTGGCTGATGGTAGCTCTGAACATTTTCTTCCTCGTTGCTGGTCAGACAGCATCGACACTCCTTGGTAGGTTCTACTACAACCAAGGTGGAAATAGCAAGTGGATGTCCACATTTGTCCAAACTGCTGGCTTTCCTGTGTTGTTCGTCACCCTATATCTGTTCCGTTCAAAATCACCTTCTACACAAACAACCACCAGTAACCCTGAGACTTCTGTCACCAAAATTACTCTTATATATATTGCCTTGGGCCTCATCATTGCTGCCGATGACTTGATGTATTCCTATGGCCTCTTGTACCTTCCTGTATCAACATATTCGCTCATATGCGCTAGTCAGCTGGCCTTCAATGCTGTCTTCTCATATGTCCTAAATGCTCAAAAGTTCACTGCATTGATTTTCAACTCTGTAATCCTCCTTACCTTTTCCGCTGCACTTCTTGGAGTCGACGAAGATTCTCAGGGTACTAATGGTTTATCGCGTGGGAAGTACATATTGGGTTTCGCATTGACCTTAGGAGCCTCAGCCACATACTCACTAATTCTCTCTCTAATGCAAGTCGCATTCGAGAAGGTTATTAAGAAGGAAACTTTCTCAGTCGTGTTGAATATGCAGATATATACTGCACTAGTGGCAACAATAGCTTCTCTTATCGGGTTATTTGCGAGCGGTGAGTGGGAGACTTTAGAGGGAGAGATGCATGCCTTCAGCTCAGGGAGGCTGTCCTATGTGATGACACTTCTATGGACTGCTGTATCTTGGCAGATAGCTTCTGTCGGAGTGGTGGGTTTGATCTTTGTTGTGTCATCACTCTTTTCCAATGTGATAAGCACACTAGCTCTACCCATCATTCCAGTTTTTGCTGTGATTTTCTTCCACGACAAGATGGATGGAGTGAAGATTATTGCTACGTTGATGGCCATCTGGGGATTTGTTTCATATGGATATCAATTATATATTAGTGACAAGAAAGCTACGAAGACTTCAGTAAGTGTGGAGGAGAATTCCTAAGTGCTTTTTGGCTTGTTACATTGTTCTTTGTGGCTCCTATACCGCTTTAAGTTGCTGGTATTGAGGAGATACTAGTTATTGTAGCCAAAAGGAAGCTCATTAAAGAATCTCAGGTTGCACAATTCATAGGTATATACTTCTGTTAGTATTGTCATATGTACGGTTGTATTATCCCCAAAATAATAAGAATAACATTTCCGGAGGCATGCTCTCTAGATTTCTAATTCTCTCGTAAATACTTACTTGCCTTGATCTTTTTTGTTGTTGTTATTAACTGTGGTATTGTGATTCTATGGTTTGACATAGAGTATTTCTAGGTGGTGCACAAATTAACTAGCTGCATTCTTAACTCTTTTTTTTTTTGTCTCAGCTGCATTCTTAACTTTTAGTGCCACATACACATAGAGTTGTCACTACTATTATATTTCCTTCTACAAATAGAACCATCTCAATCTCATACGCATTATTTACATCACTAAATAGACACATCAATATGTATCCAACCATTTCTACGGATGCAGGATGGGGACAAAGAGGGGCTAAATAATGAAGATTTAGGGCTAGAGCTAGAGATTAATAGTAATTTGAGGCTAAGTAACCGTGGTCTAATGAAAAAATCAGGCTCACTGGGAGCTGCCGCCCCCCCCCTCTGGATCCACCCCTGATTTCTATCCCACAGGCCACAGATGTAGTGGAGGCACATGGGCTGGTCCTCATACTGATCGTCTCCATATAAACTCATGCTATGCATCGCGGACTGGCTCAACACATGCAGGCGCGCAGCAACACTGCGCATGGTTTCTAGTTAGAGTGTATTTTGATATAATTTTTGTATTTAGGTAATTTTTAATGCCTCTATACGCTATTGGGATCTGCTTCGGCGCCGCATTGGAGAATGCACGAACATACATGAATGTGATGTATCTTGTTCAAAAAGACATTGTTTCAAACATTGTAATACTCAAAATGTAATCATCATGAGCTTTCGCCTCTATTTCTGCAGTCTAATCGCATTAATGAATACACCGGAACAGAATGATGTAGTAAAGCTGGTTTCACCAAACCAAAGGATAACATACGCTGTTGACAGAAAAAACGAAACTGGTTTCACCAAACCAAAGGAAAACATACTCTGTTCTCGATCTTTAACATACTACTCTTAAATGTGAGGTAAAATGAATAAGAAAAGGGCTATATGCTCGGACTATTAGCAATGGTGCAAGTTCAGTTTTCAGCTCTGTTTGCTGAGGAAGATGGCGGTGGGTTTACCGGGTGATGGTGGTTTTTCCTCTAGCAGCGAAGCATGCTCACCTGCCTTAGCGCGAACAGCTTCATCAGACGCTGGGAGCACCTCAACATGCTCAAGGCCCAGCTGCCTCTTGATCGGCTCCAAGTTCTCCCCGAGAACATCCATCTCACTGAACGGAAGCTTCAAGTCCAGTGCCCGAGGACCAACATCCCTTGCCGCATCCTTCTTCAGCTTGATGAAGGGCATGCACAGCTCCTGAACTTGCTTCAAGTCCATTTCCTGCCCGATAGGACACCCCTTCAGAGCTTCTGCTATTTTCTGATCAGGTGCGAAAGAGCGACTTTGGCTGTCAAACTTGGACTGCAGCACCCTCAAGCACTGCTCTTTCCAGCCAGAGTAGTGCTCGTTCACATATATAAGGCCAATGCTCATCTTCTTTTCCTCGGATGGAGGTGCTGGTGCAGCTCCCTTCTTAGGCTTCTTGGAACCAGACTCTTGCTCCTGAAGCAGCTTCCTCATCGATACTATGGAATCCTGCAAGTATTTATTTGCAATTCTCAGCGTCGGATGTGGGGTGTCTGCGTCTGGCCAGCCAGCTTTTATTACTATGCCTTCTTTCTTCATGATCTTATGCCACACGTGCTCGGCATAGTGTGGGCAGATGGGGGTGATGAGCCTGGTCTGGACATCCATAAATCGCCACAATAGATCACGGTTCATGCCTGCTGCGCCACAAGAGAGCCTGTACTCATCTCTAGCCAATTGGAGGACATGGAACCCAGACGTCAGGGCCTCTTTGAACATGAAAGCATTATAGCTCTTCTCAGTTTCTTTGATTGCAATGTTCATCTCGTTTGCAAACACACGGTCAGCAAATGTAGTGGGCGGCCCAGCTCTTAATTTAGATTCAGCAGCTGTAATATCTTCCATCCATGAAATTTCTTTTGTAAGCTTCATAACACCAGAGTTTGCAGTTTTAGTTACAAAGTTAGCATCATCCATACCATCGCCAGCATCAGCAAGGGCATATCTAGTGGCATCAGAAGAGCACTTTTTGATGGCATCTTCGAGAGTTAGGAAATTCCCTGTGGACTTGGACATTTTCTCAGAATTAAGCATAAGATGCCCATTGCAGCGGAAACCAAGTGGCCAATGGTGCTCAGGAAGAAGTGCTGTATGATTGTATATGCAGAATGTCAGATGGTTTTGAATATGGCCTTTACCAGACACACGGATATCGAATGGATACCAATACTCAAATTCCTGCTTCATTTTGTTCAACAGAGAAGCAGGAATGTCACTTTTTGGTGCCGGGCCATCACAAAAACTCAAAATCCCAGACTTCATCTGTCATTTCTTCTGGCCTTACTGAAGATATTTTTTTCCCATACATATTACCATTTTGCAAAAGATGTGCAACTGTATAGTAAGCCATGTATAGGGTTGAATCAGAGAGAGATTCTACAAGGAACTGCTCATCCCATGGAATTCGAGTACCAAGGCCAAAAGAACGCGAACAAGCCCACTGGTTCAGCCAGCCCAATGTGTGTTCAAAACCATTACGGGTGTCAGTTGAGAATGTATTCATGCGGGCCAAACATCTGACTGCCTTCTGCTTCCATTCAGCCTCACCATAAATTATGTACCACTGATCAGTGAGGGCAACAACACATTCATCACCAGATCTAGACATGACCTTCTTCTCCGGCTCACTATACAACACGGCTGTGCCTTCTTCCAAAAGCTTGCTTTTAATCAGTGGCTTCACTTCTTGAACCTTTTTACCACTGAACTCACCAACAATCATTGTTCCATCAGTAAATCCCTTCAGATATGTCATTCTTTTTGCTTCAGCAAGCTTCTCCTTGTCGTTCTGGCTTTTAATCTTAAGGTCATGACAAACCTTCTCTGCTGACTTGTCTCCAAATTCAGGAATGTGGATTATTGGTACAATATCATAAGGAAGAACCCACTCATCTTTCACTCCATACTTTGCTCTCAATGCTGCCTTTGTCACTAAAGCTTGCAGTGCCATGAAATCATCAGGTGAATCACTTGGAACACTAGTCACAATGCCAGTACCTTTGTCAGTCAAGACAGTGAGCATTGGAAGAACATATATGGTTTCGTTGAAGGCAAGAGGAGATTTCGGTGGCAAACAAATCAAATCATTGCCAGACAGCTCACATAAGCAGGTTGTTTTTTCTGGGATCCTGGATAGGTGTTGGTATGCAAGATTAAGAGCAGACCTTGCTGTAAGGATGAAGACATCAGTGTCGTTGATCTCAAAAGTACCATACATTCCATCAGGAAGCACCCAGCAATTTGTCTGTCCAGCAATTTGTCGTTGATCTCAAAAGCACCTTCCTTCCTTCCAACGCCTTCAGCTTGGGAGGAAAAGGTGATATCACCTCCATTTTAATCAAGACGTACTCTTGTGGCTGCACAGTTTCACCTGTTACTCTATCATGATCAGCACAAGGTTGGCCATCGAACGGAGAGTAGATCGTGTACCTCTTGTCTTTAACAACCTTGCCCAATTTCTTCAGCTTCCTCATCTGCCACTTGACAAAAGCATCATAGTATGGATTCATGTCAGTAGTTATGAATGACCTCCTCCAGTCGCAACCCAAGCCAAATTTCTTGAGAACCTCCTTTGCCAAAGGAGGGAAGTGAGTCAGTCAGTCAACCAGTGATAAGGATCTTGAAATCTGGCAATCTCTTCATCATCTAGACCAAAGCTCTTCATGATCTCCCACTGGTACTTGTGTGCACCAGCCTTTGCAGTAGCCTTGGACTTCTTCCCCTTAAATTTATCCGGGGCAACAACATCAGCCTGGTCAGCCTGGATAGCATCTGCCACTGCAGCACTAGAACCCTCTGCCGCGGGAAACACTGGAGGATATCCATACTGTTGGATTTCCCTAGCAAGTTTATCAGCTGAGGCCTTGATGGGCATTCCAGTGCAGTGGAAAGCAAAGGGCAAAAGGACATTGGAGCCACGAAGCCTGTGGTATGCAGCACCGAACTCAAGCTTGGACAACGAGAAGGCATGGCCCAGATGCAGCAAGCCATTCATGTAAGGGTATGGAAAGTTCCCAAAGAATTTTTCCCCAGGGCTTGGAGGCTCATTGCCAGGATCAGCCTCAAAAACCTTGTTCTCATCCCAAAACTTCTGAACCTCTGCTTCATTGTTGAGCAAAAAGTCTGTCCGGGCACGACTCTTAGGTTCACCAGGATTCGATGACATTTTCCTGTAACGTCAATAAAAAAGAATGTCACAAGTCAGTGTCTCAAATTGATTCATTTAACCCAACTAAATTCATATCTGAAGTGTATAAGAGAGAAGAGCTAACAAAAGCATGAAACATACAGAAACATTTATTTTTGGACGAAGTATAGCATCAAAATCTCATGTTAACTTGACTGCTAACAGATGCATGAAACATACTTAGCATCTATTTTGAATAAAATGCAAAATCACAATTCGATGTTAACTCAACTGAATTCTCATCTGTAACATAAAAGGCTAAGTACTAACAGGAGCATGAAACATACGGAAACAAACATTTGTTTCTAAACCGAGGTATACCATCACGATTTGATTTTAGCTCAAATGAATCCATATCTAGAGTGTACAAAAGAAAAGAACTAACATATGTATGAAACATACAGATACGAGCATTTATTTTTGAAAGTAAAGCATCCCAGTTTAATGTTAAATGAACTGAGCTGATACCTGAAGTGTAAAAAATAGACAAGCTAACAAACACATGAGAAAAACAGGAATATACATTTACTTCTGAACAAAGTATAACATCAGAAACTCCCCCTCCCCAAGAAACGAAACCGCTACAGATATAAAATGAGGCAAAGACTTGTTCAGCTCAACTCAGTCTAACCCCAAATATGTTTGGCACATGAATGGACTGCTACTGATAATTCAGTCCCTATCCATCCACATGGCAAGAGATCTGCAATGAGCTGGATGAAACGCACAGAATTAAAAAATTTCTTCTAAACAAATTATGTCAATATAAAAGTTGATATTTTTTTGTTCAAGTTTGTTTGGCACATGAATGAACTGACATCCATACAGCAAAGGGATCTGCGATGAAATGGATGAACTGGACTACACGTCACGTCACGGCAAGGTGTGGATGGACGATGGTACAAACAGAGTCACAAGGACATCACTTCCTCTCCTCTCCACCACACTCACGCTAGAAACCACCCCACCAAGGCAATCGACAAGCAGATCAATGACAACAAGACAGCCCTGTCCAACTCCGCAAGAAGAAGCTACGACATTTGCCAAGAAATTCGGTATACAAACATATACCGCATTAGGTCATGAACTACAATATAAATACCAGTAGTTCTAGGATGATTTACTGCTTCATTGGACATGATGTATTTCCTAAAAGAGAGATAAGTAAAAGCTTACTATGACATCTGCTTATTGCCACGAACTGAACTGCCCTATCGGTCATTCGGACTTATACATTACCAAATAGGGAATTACAAGTGACTAAGCACTGAACAAGCAGACGAAAGAACTAAAAAAAAAAAAAAGAGTACTAACCCTATGTTTCCACAGCAGATGCTCCTGACGACTTCCTTGATTCCCCGGTTCAGGAACTTGGCCTCAGAGGCTGCAAATTCGCCCACAGTCAATCATCAAGACCGGATAAGAAGAATTGAAGACCCTGAACCCAAAGCGAGCACGTACATAATCGAACAGGGCCAAGAAACAAGTATGAACCTAGACGCACGAGCTCAAGGGTCCCCTTGCAAGGATTCTTGCCGGCGAGGGGACTTGCGATGCGAGCCAGCGCCCCAGGGGCCTTCTTCTTCGTTGGACTGTCGGCGCGACCTGGAGAACGTGGCGCGGCTGCCGCGTGCGTAGGGGAACGAGATCCTCTAACTTGGGAATTCCCTAACTTGGGGCTCTTTCTACTGCAGAGGACGTAGGACCTCTGATGCCGTCCGTTCCGCATCCTGCGGCACGAAGAAAAGCAAACAGAGGAGGAGAAGGAGAAAACAATAACAGCGTTGGATGGACAGGGAAGGCATCCAGTCTGGTAAAAAATGGCATCCAGTCGTTCGCGCTTGCTTCGCCGTCGCTTGCTCAACCCTAGCAGCAGCCGGCGGGGAGGAGGCGCCAAACTGCTCGTTCCTGCAACTCGTGGCAACTCTGTCAATCTGAGCCCGCGCGCATCTGGACCCCGACTCGGAATCGCAGGTGTCACCGACGAGCTCGGAATCGCGGCGGCCATCCCTGAGTGAACCGCTGCGGTGACCGATGACCCCGTGCGCATCTCACCCCACCTGGTGTCGTTGACATAGTGAGCTGCTGTAATGCACATGTATTCTTAGCTGCCATGTTCTCTGAATATGCAATGTAATGGCAATGCTATTTGAAATACAATTGTAATAACACTGTCCTCTTTATATGTATTTTATTTGGAGTGCTGTCTGAATATGTAATGTTCTCCAAATACGTCCTTTGAAATTGACATATGCTCTCTGAAATGGACGTGTTTTCTGAAATTCCATGATGAAAGTGCATCATTCAGTTTCTGAAATTGACAGAAAAGTGAGTGCTCATGCCCACTTCAGTTCCAGAACACATCCAGATACTTACATTAAGTTGTAGTTAACATATATACTATACATTCAGATGTCGTCGACTTGACTATATACAAGACTAAATTGAAACAGTACTATAGTGCAGGTGGCCAAAGATAACCGAATTGCATTGAAAATCCTCCATTCTTCATATCCTACTCTTGTCACAGGGTTGCCCAAAAACAAAAGTATCATCTGTGATTGGTCCTTCATGGTACCTTGCTGAACAATTCAGAGCAATAGGTGGAGACCTGAACCTTGCAAAATGACCCAAATAGAATTACTTCACCACAGCTGAGATAAAACATCATTCGTCATTGGTTCCTGTAAATTAAATAGAAGTAAGTCTATTTAAATAAAAATCAGTTACCATCCCTGATCATCTCTAGATAAAATAAAGAAGTATTTTACCGTTAACATTTGAGTGAAGCTAAGGTTGACCTTGTAATCTTCAGAGTCCTCTTTGTCCTTGTAAACAATATCATTAGCAACTTGTTTTTCTGCTTGTGCACCACTACTACCTGCCTCTTCCCCAACCTCTTGTATCTTGCAGTAAAAAAATTAGAGGGATTAGGGAAATACTGGACAGAATGATAAGAGTACAAATGCAACATTCCTTTAGCAACATACCACTGAAATATGTGCTACTTGTGCTTGTGGAGCATCATTACTTGCTTCTTTCACAAGCTATGTTGTAGCTTTATTTTGTCTCTTTTTTTAGCCTTGTGCTTCTTATCAAGCCAAGTTCTTTTTCGTTTTGAATTTTTTGTTTGGTGCGCAAATAGTTCTTGTGATCATGAAGGGTGTAACTAAGATTGAGTGGTCCACCAACTTGGTGGCTAGCCAACTCATGTGCTGCTTTTGGTCCAATTCCCGCATCATTTGCCGTTTCAATTTCAAATGCTTGTAAATAAGAAATTTTCCTATGTGTCCAATAAGTGAAAGGTTTTTGGTAGGTGCAGTTTGTGATTGTGTTCCAAAATGACATCAGATACTTTATAATGTCCCTCCTTTCGATCTAATTTAAGAGTCATGCGGACTTAACAATCCGTTCTAGTTTCAGCTCGAGGGCATTTAGTTAAATGATCCCTTTTGTCCTGCAGCCTATGACCCTCATTTGCACAAACAAATCTACTTGATGTAACCATGCCATCAGAATGTCTTTTGTTTGTATACCTTTTTCTAACCTCAAAACCTTTTTGTCCACCGTAGCTAAGCCAAAATACCCAAGCCTCATTCCAAGTTCGAAACTCCATGCCAACATGAGGTGCCAAGCCAGGTAGTATATCTCTACAACAAAAAAGAATAACATGAGAAGGGCCTGTGGAAGTACAGAGAAAAAATTATGAAATAGATTAGCACTACCAGGGTAAAATACTTATGATGTCACATAAGAAATGATAAAGTGGGGTTGTGCTGCTTATATACGTATTGGAATCATGATGCAATCTGTTAGTTTGTTCTTCCATCGTGCTTCTTACATGACAACAGGAGAAGCAAAAACTAAGTCTGCAACCTAGTGATGAAATTTCAATCAATCTCAGTGAAGCCGCTGTAAAGAGGAACGACGAGAGAGAAGGGAGTAAGATTACTCACCTGCACACAATTGAAGTGCAGAGGAGATGCAAGAGGAGAAGCTCGGTCGTCTGGCGATCGTAAGCGTCGTCTTTGACGCCTTTTCTCATCAGACTCCCGCCGTTTTTTTACCAGGTTCGCGCCTTTTCCGTCCATCCGGCGCTGTTATTGGGCTCCTTCTTTCCCTCCTCTGTTTGCTTTTTCTCCGTGCCGCAGGATGTGGAATGGATGGCATCGGAGGTCCTACGTCTTCTGCAGTAGAAAGAGCCAAAGTTAGAGGATCTCGTTCCGTGCGTAGGACGGTGCGGAGGCGGGCCGTGCGTAGTCGTTTTTTTATTATATTAGTCAGATCTAAGAGCATCTCCCAAAAAATATTAGGAGAAAAAAGAAATCCATCTCTAAGAGTATCCTATAAATAACTTACAATAAATCAAATATTGAGCCCACAAAACCTTTTTTTGCCGCATTCTTTTTTTTTCGCACGACATTGCAGGGTCGCGTGAAACCTTGGACGCCGCCGCCTCCCTGGCCGCCGCCGCGACTTCCCAGCCGGCAGCCTAAACGTACATACGCACGTGTCCTCTCTCAACTAGTGTCCTGTGGTGGCCACCATGCACACGGTGGTGGCTGGCAATGGCATCCGGCGGCGACGCCATGGCGCCGTCGCGCTGCTGGTCGCCGCCATAGTGCTCCTCGCGGCCGCGGCCCAGCAGACGGCGGCGGGGGTGTCCTGGGCCACCGTGGACGCCGAGGGCAACAGCACCGTCCTGTACGGCCGCGCCATGGACAAGACGCTCGACCTCGCCGCCGAGGGCACCGTCACGCGCTACACATACTACAACGACACGTCCGGGTACATCCACCACTGCACGCTCGATCAGCAAGACAGCAACCTCGACCACGGCACCAAGTACTACTACGCCATGGGTTCGGCGACTCGGTGCGGACGTTCTGGTTCACGACGCCGCCGGAGCCGGGTCCGAACGTGCCGCTGCGTCTGGGACTCATCGGTGACCTAGGCCCGACGCCCGACTCCAACAGCACGTGCACTACGAGAGCCACCCGGGAAAAGTCGGTCGCAAGAAGACGATGCGCGCGACTAGGATGCGCGTATATTTACGCATGGAGAATGCCGGTTTACCGATTGTCAAAAGATAGGGAGGACATATGGGGTTCTAGGCCCAAGTCCAGTGTAGTCATGGGCCTATCTGGGCTGCACTTTGGGCCCGCCTTTGCTGGCCTGCCCAGGTTTCATGTGTCCCCGAAGCTGTGCCTCTGTAATGGCACAAGAGATGTTGTAGAGTAGACATGGAAGGAGAATGTGAACAGAAAAATCGAGGGAGAAAAGAGAAAATGTTGGTGCCAATTGCTTGGTTGCCGAGACAATAACGGAGAGAGCGAGCTATAGACTGTGTTCTCAGCTATGGGAGAGGGACATCCTAGCTTACTCTACTGTGTGTGAATCTGTGATGTCGGTGGTAAAAAAATGAAGAAGCTATTGAATCAGCCGGTCAACTTATTTTAACTTATTCTTCCTCACATAACACTGTTGAATTATTTGGAACCGGCTGACTTATGTACCAGCCGAACAGACAAGAATACAAATGTAGGATTGAACTGTTTTCTTATCTGGTGCTTTGCGTGAGGGAGTAGTCGATTGATTGACTGGGCAACTGGCCGCCGTCCGTCGTTGCCCCTAGCGCGCGTGATTCCGCCGTTGCCGCCAGCTCGAGTCATTCAGCCGTCGCGCGTGCGTGTCCTCTGCGTCATCACCGTTGCCCCTCGTGGCCTCGTCTCCCTGCGCGATGTGCACCGGCGGCTAGGTTGGCAGGGAGGCCACTGGGGGCTTGGTGGGGGTGGAGTTTAGAGGGTTACAGTGGCGGGCCGTGGGCTAGTGACTGTAGGCGTGCCGGTGATCAGGTGTGATAATGGGCTGGGAGATTTGGTGAGCTGCAGTGGTTTTTGGAAGGAAAAAAAATCCTTTTGACCCCTTCAAATTCCCTTTATTTACCAAAACGGATTTTGAACCCTTCTTAACTTTAAAAACCGTTTGTTTGTGCACTCTAGGTGGTTTTGATGCTGGTCTGGAGTAAATCAGATTAATCTAACAATTCAAGGAGGTAAATCGGACTAGAAATATTCTTTTAAAAAAAATAAAAATTTCATAAAAATAATTCAAGAATAGTGGCCGCGGTGGAGGCAGAGCGGACCGGTGTAGCTGCCCGGTGGGACCTCTCTCGGTATTAAAACTTTTTTTCCTATTTTTTCAGTGTATTTTTTGGCTTTCCACATCACTGTCGGTATGTCAATCCCGCATCACTGCCGGTACGCCACTGCCAGTTCAAAATCCGGCAGCGAAGGGGTTTTTTGAACCGGTAGTGATGTCAAGATCTAGGGTAGTGGTTGCGGCAGCGGGCCGTGCGTAGTCATTTTTTTATTATATTAGCAAGATCTAAAAGCATCTCCAAGGTATCCTAAATTTTTCTCCCAAAAAATCCATATTTTTCAACTCCCAAAAAAGTATTGGGAGAAAAAAGAAATCAATCTCCAAGAGTATCCTATAAATCACTTCCAATAAATCAAATATTGGGCCCACAAGCCTTTTTTGCCGCAATCTTTTTTTTCGCACGACATTGCAGGGTCGCGCGAAACCTTGGACACCTTCTTAACTTTTAAAACCGTTTGTTTGTGCACTCTAGGTGGTTTTGATGCTGGGTTTGCTGGAGTAAATCAGACTAACTTAACAATTCAAGGAGGTAAATCGGACTAGAAATATTCTTTTAAAAAAGATAAA